CATGGGCCATTCACAAATCACTAGTAGAAAAAACTAAAAAAGCACCCCCCCTATGGCAGCGGTTCATGAAAACCGTTGCCAACTAAAATGAGCACCAATTAAAATTTCAGAGTTGGCAACGGTTAACCGTTGCCAACTGTTTCTTTTTAAAAAATAAAAAAATAAATAGGTTAGAGTTGGCAACGGTTAACCGTTGCCAACTCTTAAATTTTGGCAACGGTTAACCGTTGCCAAATACTTACTTTTTTAAAAAATAAAAATAAATTAAAAGGGTTAGATTTGGCAACGGTTAACCGTTGCCAATTGTGAAAAAAAAACCCGGTTTTTCCTTTCTCAAGCCTCCTGTATACTCCCTCCTGTTCTTCGTTCTTCTTCAATTCATTAAAAAACATTGATGCGCGTTTTCCCTCCCCCTTCTTCATTCAGCAACTCCCCTCTTTGTTCCTCCATTAAAGTGCTGCGAGCTTTCTTACCTCCGTTGAAGACAATACTCGCGTCGTACTCCGGCAATAACTCCCTCCATTGAAACATATTCAACCGAAGGTAAGTAGCAATTAGGTTTTACTTATATACTTCCATTGATGAATTCGTTCGACTTTTTGGTGGATTTGATTTACAATTTAGTACTTATAAGTTCCTGTAATATATGGTTTGTCAATTGAAACAACTATAATGGACTTGAGCCCTATGTGACTATGTCGGAATTTGGAGAGGTTGGCGCTTTGTAGTAGTGAGTAATACTAAATTTGAACCCTAAATCCCTAATTGTTCAATAATCAACTCAATTTCAGAGAATTTTGCATTATCTGAATTGTGAATTTTGCATTATCTGAATTGTGAATTTGTGAAATGCTCGCCTAGTCGCCTGCTCCAGCCTCCAGTGCTCTGTGCAGCTGTGCTCTGTCCTCTGTCCTGTACAAGTTGTCTAAGGTGCTCCTCGGATGATCATTGATAGTTTTAAGTTTGTGAGCCCAGTTGGAGAGCTCCCATGATTCAGCTGTGGCTGACATATGTCTGTCAAAAAGAAAATCTATTAGAAAACCTTGCGTTGTATCAGGCATCACATTATTTATAGTCAAAGATTACCTGATTCCCTTGCTAGACATGGTTATAATCTGGGTTGCAGCAGCCACAACACTTCTGATTATCTAATAAACAGCTATTGGGAAATGCCTGATTCAGGATCTTCATCTGTGATATACATCGTAGGTAACTCTCCAAACTCAACAATGCACCTGGTTGTATCAAGCATGGCCTTTATTAGATTATTAGTGGCTTCAAACTGGTTCCTGTAGGCGCCTGCATGCTCCACGACCATAGGCAATTGCTTCATAAGTGCCATCAATTTTGCCAGGGCATATGATTCATACTTGTGATTTCATTTGTTTTGTTAACTTTGTGTTTGATTAGGTTGTTGAATTTATATGAAGGGAAGACTCAGCCTATCAATCATTTCTTGATCAACAAGAGTTGGTATATTGTTAATTTGCCTGGATATGGGTGAGTCTCTGTAATTGTGGTTTTAATTTGGGCAATTTCTGTAATTCTTGAGTCTATTTCATGCTGGGAATATTGTATACTTGTATTGTGAATCAATTGTTATTCGTGATTAATCCTGATCATATGCTCGAATCATATTGAAGTGCAAAAAAAGGATTGCTTTTACGCCTTGAGGCATTGCTTCAAAATTATTGATCATCCTGGAAATAGCAGTGTCCGTGTTGGGAATTATCCCGCGTTGCACTACAAGAAAAGTGACTTTTACCCACATAAATTTACCAACAAATAGTATATATGTTGGTAATAATTAGAATTAACAACAGATATGTTGTCTATTGGTTTTAATCAACGAGTCCTTGTACCATATAATCATATGCCAACAGAAAAGTTTTATTTGTTGGTTAAATAATTTAATACCAATAAAATTTTCACCAACTCTTATTTCTATTGGACTAAGTTTTCGGTACCCGCTTTATTTTCACATTTCCCGCTTGAGCGAAATTTCCAATAAGACCAAAACAAAATTTGTACTATTGCTACTGTATGCAAGTACTAAAGTTTTAATTTAATATTATTATCAAAAGTAAAAAAGCAATCTAGAACTATCAATCATCTTATTCATCTATATGCAACTCTAGCAATTTATTTTTAATCATCTTGTACTTCTAAAATAACCCCTTCCATATAAACCCCTTTGAGGAATGTGAAGCACCGCCATTTTTATATGGAGAAATTGATGAAATTTTCTTGAACCCTCAGCAATTGCAATCTGTAATCGCTCACAACCGCAAATTTTCCATTTCAATTTGTTACTTCCCAGCGATAAATCTATTGTAAGTTTTGTTAAGTAATAATATTCATTGTATATGAAATTATTGTCTATTTTGAAAAGCCATTTTTGTAGGGAATTTCTTATTAGTTATGAGACGTATATGTGGTTATTTTACAGGAAAAATGGTTTGGGGTTAGAAAAGTGTATTTAATAGACTATTATTCACTGAAATCAAGTCCATTAGTATGTTTTCTCCATTTTCTTTCGAAAATTATAATATTTTAGTTTAGTATCCTGGAATTTCTTCATTTGTATAGAAAAATTTATTTGCAAAAAAAATCAAAAATGAACATTGTGAAAGGGTGTTGGGTTGTATATCACAAATTACTTTTAGATATTTCGCTAATTATTTGTATGTGCTTTTTATTGCCTAATTATTTTATAGATAATTTGGTTGTTGATGTTATTTGTATATATGTGTGATTGAGTTGTGTGACCTGGGGTTGAGATATGGGTGGTTGGTTATAGGTTGAGAAGTAAGGGGATGTACAAGGGGGTTTAGGTGATGTGACTATGGCTATCAGAGAGGGAATGAGAGGTGTGTGTTTGGTGGGCGGCTAGTGAGGTGGGATTTTGTGGTGAGAAGTGAGGCTTGCACTTTGATGCTTTGGTAAAACGTAGGATCGAATCCTATAAGTAGAGCAATAACGTGTGTTGTGTTTAGGGGTGTCCATAATTCGGATAAAAACTGAAATCCAATCCAATCCAAACCGAATTATCAATTCGGATCGGATCCGAACTTTAAATCGGATCGGATCGGATTGAGATTTTATGAAAATTCGGATTTTTGGATTGGATCGGATTGACCCTAATTGGATCCAATCCAAACCGAAAATCCGAATTTTCATAAATATGGATTTCTGTATATTTTGAAGTTTAGCTCAAATACTTAATACTACATGAAATAAATTACAGAGACTTTGTATTAATTAATTAATGACTTGACGTTGAACTATGTATTTTAATCATGATTTTGAAGACTTTTATTTATAGTAAAGCTTTATTTTTATAATTGTATTAGGCGCTAAAAAATAATGTATTATAATTTGGATTTTCGGGTCGGATCCAAATAACCGCATTTTAATTCGGATTGGATCAAGAGAGAAATTTGGATTGGATCGGATTGGAAAATTGAAAACCGAATTATATTTCGGATTGGATCGGATTTGGACTAAATCCAAACCGAAAACCGAACGGACACCCCTAGTTGTGTTTAAGTAGAGCAATAACGTGTGTTGGGTTTAGACCTGTTTGGGGTCTTACCGGTGAGGAGTCTATTAGAATCCTTGTGTGTAAGTGAAGGGGTTGTAGTTGTGGGGCATTGAAGTTGTGTGGAATGCTGGGCATAAGGAGAGAAGTTGACTATTTCTCTGGATTCACTTTGTCGTGACTCAATAGTGAAGGTGAGGGAGTGTGTTGTTGAGTGGGAGTTGGAGGAGTGTAGTAGCTTTGCTATGTGCCAATTCATTTTCTATGTATTATAGTCTAGCTTTTTATTTATCAAAAAGACTTTTATATTTACATATTCTTTTTATACAACTTTGAACATACTTATATGAAAAGAGCTAGAAAGAAAACAGATAACTACTTAATAAAAAATCTGAACATATGTAATAAGAAAAGATTAATAAAGCAAAAGTTATGGATAAATGAACAAGTATTGACCTTCAATACTTCATTAAATTAAAGAAAAATGTGGCATCGATATACATGTAAATATATAAGCAACTCTTGATATATGAATAGTTATCTTAAGTGACTAAGTGAGTGCTATATGTGAGTGCATTGGAACCTAATTATTTTCTCCAAGGCTAAGTTATAGTATGCTAAAAGTGACAAGCATGATATATAGATGCCTAATCTTATAGATATAATCACGTATAGTTAATAGTTAATACTCCGTTTAATCTTTAATTGTTACATTGTTTATAATGACTATTTTTTTACTAATTACTTTACCTTTTGTTTGGGTTATTACTAATGTTATATCTATTTCCACTCACATTAGTTATAACTAAGGTTATTACTAACTATTTCCACTAACAATTTTTAACTCTAATATCTCTTATTACAATTTTAATACTTCAACCACTTCACTTACACATTATTACATTGAACTCAAGTAAACTATCTAAAATTACGGGCCAATCAAAGTTTAACAATTACAAAAATGGATGGAGTAGTAAAAAAGAAACAATGTAGCCACATGTGAGAGGGTAAGATAAAAGAGAGACTAATTAACTGTAATTTCTAAAGTGTTGTAAATTATATGCAAAACTGCATATAAAACTAAATTGTTCTCCCTCCTTGTAACTTATATTGGTTTCATTTTTTTGAATTATTCTCAGGTTTCATCATTTGTTATAGTTGATCATCAAAAATTGTTGAACCCATTCTGCAAAAATATTTTCCTCTTGGAATTCATTGAAAGAAGTTGACTAAAATTACTCTCGGTACCATTGACCCTGAATAAAAGGTATGTCTTTAAAACTAAATGAAATTTGTAACTTGACATTATATAAAATTTTATGTCACTTGTCAAAAAATTTAAATATCCTCTATTTTTGCGTGCTTAGTATTCTAGCTTTTCTTGTTTAGATAAACTATGTGCTTCATGTGTTAGTGATTTTAATTACTTAAAACTTAATAAAATTGTAGGATTGTCAACATGGATGTGTTTGCCGATAAAAGTTGGGTAAAATTAAATAGAGTACATGGTCAGTACAGAGTGGCATTAACTTCATTTTTAGATCATGCATTTGCAACAAATGCAATTGAAAACAAGATTGCTTGTCCATGTGGAATTTGTGCAAATCGTTTGTATCATGAAAAGCACATAGTGATGAAACACATGATTATGAAAGGAATGGATGTTGATTATCAAAAATGTATTTGGGTTTTTCATGGAGAATCAGGGTTTATTGTTGATGATGATTGCTTAGAGGGTATTTTGAACAATGCTAGTGATAATGTAAGTGAAGATGGTATTTTTAAAATGGTAGAAGATGCATTTGACTTTCATGAAACAACAACTAATTTATCTGGCATAAATGCTGAAGCTGAAGCCTTTTTTAAGTTACTCGAAGATGCTAGACAGCCATTATATGATGGTTGTGAAGAATTTAGCAAGCTTTCTTTTATTGTTGAGATGTATCATATAAAATGTCTATATGGTGTGACAGATGTAGCATTTGATGCATTAGTCAAACTTTTTAAAAAAGCTCTTCCTGAAGATTCTGTATTGCCAAACTCTTTTAAACAAATGAAAAATATCATTAAAAAGCTTTGTTTGGATTATAAAAAGATCAATGTATGCCCAAATGATTGTGTGCTTTTCTGGAAAGATAAAACTAGATTAGATAAATGCCCAACTTGTGATGCATTGCGGTGGAAAACATCAGATGATGGAACAATCATAGAATTGGCTAATGGTAAAAAGGTTCCAATAAAGGTATTGCGTCACTTTCCCTTGATCCCTAGGCTGAAAAGGCTCTTTATGTCATCCAAAACATCTCATCTCATGCGTTGGCATGCTGAGCGGGAAAAGGATGGCAAGATGAGGCATCCTGCTGATTCATGTGCTTGGAAAGAATTTGATGAGAGGTATTATGATTTTTCTAAGGATCCTCAAAATGTAAGGCTTGGCTTAAGTAGTGATGGTTTTAATCCTTTTGGTATGATGAGTACCCAATATAGTATATGGCCGGTAGTTTTGATGACTTATAATTTACCTCCCTGGCTATGTATGGAACAACCATATTTCATTCTTTCATTACTTATACCAGGCCCCAAGGGTCCAGGAAATGATATTGATGTGTTCTTAGAACCTCTAATTGATGAGTTAGAAATACTATGGAAGGTCGGTGTAGAAACTTATGATGCCTCAAGATGTGAAACATTCACATCACATGCAGCTTTAATTTATACCATCAACGACTTCCCTGCCTATGGTAACCTCTCTGGTTGGCCAACAAAAGGTAAACGTGCATGTCCTTATTGCAATGTTGATACATGCTCCATGTATCTTAAAGGAAGCAAGAAACTATGCTACCCAAGGTTTCGACGCTTCTTAGAAGAAACTGATGCTTTGTGCTACAATGGAAAAGCATATGATGGGAGAGTAGAGTTAGCACCTCCTCCTAGATCCTGGACAAGATCTGAACTATTAGAGAAAATGAAAGATGTCGATGTGGTATTTGGAAAACAACCTGATACCAAAAAATTGAATAAACAAAACAAGCGAAAAAGGGGGGGTAGAAAATGTCCCATGGAAGAAGAAAAACTCTTTTTTCAGATTAGATTACTGGGAACATCTACCTATCCGTCATAATCTAGATGTCATGCATGTGGAGAGGAATGTTTCAGAGAGCATCATTGGTACACTTTTTGGCATTGAGGGAAAATCAAAAGATACTACCCTCTCACGTCTTGATTTAGTACATTTGAACATAAGGAAGAATCTCCACCCAAAAGAAGTTAGTGGGAAGACATATCTACCTCCTGCGAGTTTTACACTGAGTAAGAAAGAAAAGGAAGAGATGTTAGTTTTATTAGCTTCTGTTAGAGTTCCAGATGGTTATGCAACAAATATTAAAAGGAGGTTTGTTGATGGTAAATTTTCTGGTTTGAAAAGCCATGATCATCATATACTTATGCAACAATTGTTACCATTGGCTCTAAGGAAAATGCAAATTAAAGAAGTTAGTCGAGTGTTGATTGACTTTTGCAACTTTTTCAAGGAGTTATGCTCTAAGGCTCTAACATTAGAAGACTTAGAGAAGTTAGAGAAGCGCATTGTTGTTATACTTTGCTATATGGAGCATATCTTTTTACCAGCTTTCTTTGTTATAATGGTACACTTAGTTATACATTTACCACATGAAGCAAAGATTCTCGGTCCAGTTTTCCAGCGTTGGATGTATCCTATAGAAAGGAATTTTTTTTTATGCAATTCTTATTCATCATATGAAATTGTTAACAATCTATAAAATATGTTAATTACGAATTTTATTGTATGTACTAGGTATCTGCAAACGTTACAATCATATGTGAGAAATAAAAGTTGTCCAGAAGCATCTATTGCAAATGGAGCCCTTGCTGTAGAATGTCTTGGTTTTTGTGCTCGATATATGCAAGATGTGGAAACAAAAGAGAATAGACCATCAAGGAACGATGAAGGGAATGGCAATGACGTACATAAAGGATTGTCAATTTTTTCCTTAAAATGTCGTGGAATGTCAAAAAAGAGAAACTACAAGCCTGATTATTATGTAATTGAACAAGCCCATATCTACGTTTTAGCTAACTGTGAGGAGGTTCAGGTTTATGCAAGGTATGTAAATTTTAAATTATTAACTTGTATTTTATTTTCATAATATTAACTTACTTTCGTCTGATTATATATGTTGTATTTTAGGGAGTATTGTAATGCTCTATGTGAGAAATACAACAATAATTATGAGATTATTGATGACATGTATAAAAGAAATTTTTCAAAGTGGTTTGCTGACAATGTAAGTTTGGTACCATAACCAAATTATTATTTATTTGTTTATTTGTTAAGTCACTTTTTAACTTAATTAATTTCATAAATTTTCAGGTTTCAATGCATGTGTCTAGCGACACTTGTGTAGCTGATGATCTGAAATATCTTAGTTGTTTTCCTAGCATGTGGGTGAATACAATGACAAAAGTCACTTGCAATGGTTATCGATGGCGTGTGAAGAAAATTGATAAAGGATGCGTAACTCAAAATTCTGGGGTGGTTGTTAATGCAGACACAAATGCTAGAAATGTAGCATACTTTGGAGTCTTGACTGAGATTTTGGAATTGACTTATCCTCATGGAAGGAGTGTGTTGTTGTTTCGTTGTGATTGGGTAGATCCAATTAGTGGGGTTAAAAAAGACAATGAATTTACTCTAATCAACTTGAAAAAAATTTGGAAAACAGATGAGCCTTTTGTTCTTGCATCCCAAGCAATGCAAGTATTCTATGTCCCAGAGTTGTCGAAGGAAAAAAATTAGCATGTTGTCATCATAACAAAACCTAGAGATCTATATGAAATGGAGGAAGATGTGATACCTGAAGTGGATCATATGAATGCACCTCATGATTCATCTAATGACATAGATGTTGAAACATTTAACAGAGTACGACAAAATGTTGCTGGTGTCACAGTTGATGAAATGTTAAGCAAGTTGGTTCAAGATAATGTTCATGATGGAATAGAGGAGGATCATAGTAGTAGTGAAAGTGATGAAGAAGATGATACTTTATATGATTATTAACAACTTATGATAATTTTTTTTTTATTACATCTAATGTGTTTTAGAGCCTTTTTTACCACAAAAAAAAAAAAAAAAAAAATAGCTAACATGTTTTAGAGCCTTTTTTTTTTTTTTTTTTTTTTGTTGCGTGGTGTGTGTATGCCTTCCTTATTTTTATATTAGACAAATTTTAGCTCTTAATATCTATAATATTGCACATAGTTTATACGGTACTTGGTGATCATGCAACAAACTACCATGGCCTCTTTGAAGAGAAAGGTGATAACTCGGGATCAATTGGTGGTATATTTCTCATACTCTATTGTATTATACTATCTTTTCTTGAGTTTAATTATTTTAGTTATAAGTTCTCTGTTTTTATGTTTACACAGCAAATGAGTACAAAAAATTCAAATGGTAAATTATTAAGGCGTAGTCCAAGGGGTAATAGTTCTGCCACTCCCAACACAATATCGCATCCAAATGCTCGACGATCTCTTTTCTCAAAAAACGGGGTTACCACTGTGCATTCAAATGCAGGAACTTCTACAGAAAATTCATGTGCCGGTAATTAATTATGTATTGCTTTTATTTTATTCATGAACCACAATATATTATATTACAACAATATATAATGTTCTCTAATAAGAGTTATAACATTTGCTTTTTGCTTAGCTATTTAAATGAAGTATACTAAAGTATGATAATAACACAATTTCAGAGAAACTAGCAATCAAGAGGTGGTCCATGCTACTTAACAGCATGTGTAAGTAACAATTTATAATAGAATGTGCATGCGTATTGGATTATTATTCAGTCACTTGTTTTTTGAATGTCACTTTTTTTTATTTTTTTTGTTTTTTGGTATCTTTATAGCTCAACATAAAGAACTCCAAATTTCACCATGTTGTGATCCTGGTAATCCACAAAAGGAGAATATTTCGAATCAAAATGGTAGCCGAGATCAAAATGTTCCTTCAAGTAGCATGCATCTCGGTATGGATATTATATTTATATATTTTCTTATATATTTATATATATACATTTTTTCCAATGTTTTCTTTTAATGATCAGCATCTTTGTCATGAAATTTTCTTCTCACAAACCATTATATATATGTTTGCTGTTTGGATTAGGACATAGTCCAAGACATCTTAATAAAATTGGTAATTTAGAATCGAATAACTCAACAAACTTCAATGAACCAATAAGGCAAGAATATGAAACAAATTATACTAATCATGATGAGATACCCTCGCAATGTGGTTATAATACCACAAATAGGAGGAGAATTCAAGCAGCTCGACCAAGGATTGAGAAGGGTCGTGGTGCTAATAAAACTAAGGTTTTGAAGCATCGTATGTTTGTTGAGGTCAATGAATATGGACAACCTGTTGGTGACACAGGGAGGAAGTTGTCCTCTTTAATTGGTTGTCTAGCACGAGATCCTAGAAGATTGCCATTAGATTGTTGGGATTGGAGGTTGCTAAGTAAAAAAAAAAGATTGTGTGTGGGAGGAAGCAAAGGTAATTAGTAAATAATAATTACTATCTAATTTGCATAGAAACTTTGTATATTTACTATGTATTTTTTCGTACAACAATCATTTGAATTTCCCATAGGACGAGAGCCTTATGATTGGGCAATGAAGACTATGAATGCTGCATGGAGACTCCAAAAATGTGAGTTAAAGATAAGACATTTTGATGGAAGAACCCATGAAGAAGCAATTGCTCAAAGAGCATTACAAGTACCATATATACCTGAAAACATGTGGAAGAATCTGGTGGAGTTTTGGGAATCTCCTAAAGACGAGGTAAACCTTAAATCTTGTACTGCATAAGTAGAAAATATAACATTTACAGTTACTTTTTTTTTTTTTGCTTATCCTGAAATCAAGTTCGTTTAAATAAACTTTAGGAAAGAAGCAAAAGAAATATTGAAAATAGGAGCAAGTCCATGATGTGTCATTATGCTGGCTCTAAGAGTTTTGCACGTATACGAGCAGAAAAAAAGGTATCTTAGAAATATCTATTATTTCATTTTATTTTAATGAATGGATTGTGGTTTGATTATATCATTGTACATTTTTTTACCGTATCAGGAAAAAGAAGGAAAAGAGCCTGATCCTCTTGACGTATGGCTCGAAACCCATGAACCAAAACAGGGTTCTCGACTTGATAATGCATCAGCTACTGTGAAAGTATGGCTTATCTTTATTATTTTTGGTTGATTATGGAAACTTAGAGCAAGCTACTATCAAATTATAAATTATTTTTTATTTTCTTTTGTCTTTTAAAATATGTAGAAAGCAATTCAAGAAGATTTACTGCTCTCAAAGTTCAGCATTGCTATGAAAACAACTTAGCATTCAGAAAATATGTGAGAAATAAAAATGTTATGCTAAGACTTTTGCTTTTTAAGTTCTCGATTCGTACAAAAGATGCTTTGAGAAAGCGTCAAGAAAGAATGAATAAATTAAAAATGAAGAAGCTGATAAATACAATTTGATGACATTCTTACAGCTTCGTAATAATTTTGAGATATTAATTCTATTGTCTTTATCTTTTATTTCGTTTAATATAATTCCACCCCTTTCTAATATAATTTCAATTTCTTTACCTCCCCTTTCATTTAGTTATTAGTTAGTCTCAAATTACGAGAAAATGTTAGAAAACACAAAGTAAAGTACTGTAGTTGTCTTCTAACTTAGCTTGTTATTATTTCTATGATTTATCTTATTCATTTAATAAATGATTTATTTTTATTTTTAGGGTATGTCAAAAGAAGAAATTCTTATTCTTCTATAAGATGAAGAAGATGGGGAAAATGCTAAAGATGAGGAAAATGCTGGTAGTGAATGCAATGATGAAAATGAGAAAGATAATGAAGATTTTAATGACTATGGAGGTGAGGAACGTGACTATCATGCACAAAATGATGAAGACATGGAATTTTATGATTATGATTAGTGATGAAGACCATGCACATAAATATTTTTTGGGTGGAATGAATCTTGCTTATGCCTGGCTATATATGATGTACATTTGACAGATAGTTGA